GGCGGTGCGCTCGCGCGCCCTCTGGCGACGGCGGCGGCGGCCGCCGGGAGGGACCGGGGGTGGCTCGCAGTACTACAGAGCTCGGAAGCGGCCGCGGCTGGGTATGGCGGCCGAGGTCTCCGGTCCGGAGGTGGGTGGTGAGGGGCAGGAGCCTTTGCTGAGTGCCGGAGAGGCGGCGGCGGCGGAGGAGGAGGAGGAGAAGGAGGAGAGCAGGTAGGGCCTTGTTCCTTCCCGCGCCCCTCTCCTCTGAGGCGAAGGGCAGCTGCGCCAACAGGCGCCTCCCGTCCCTCGGCCGCTGCGTCCTCCCGGGGTGTCGGACCGGCGGCGGCTTCTTCAGCCTGCCCCGGGCTCGGGAGCGGGAGGAAAAGAAAAAGAAAGGCACTCGCTTGGGGAGTTTCTAAAAAGCATAAAAATCGATGATTGTGGCGCTGAAGTCGAGGTATTTAATAACACTTTTCCTGTGCGGGCAGCAGTTGATGGCTTGTTTTTTTCCTTCTGTCAGGAGAACAACAGTATCTTCGATGTGTAGGGGTGGCTGCTGTCGCTGCCGTCGTTGCTGAAGTGTTCTCATACTTGAAGACTTAACTAAAATCTTGAAAGTCACCAAACATAACATATGCATAGCATATGCAAGAGTTTGACTTTTTCCTGTGCATGATGGGCAACAGGATTACAAAATACCTTTAGAAACATCGTTTGTGTGGTTAAAGTTTCATTGAACCAAGACACTTCAGCGGTGTAAACATTTCTGAAATGATGTGTACAAATCATGCTGCGGAATAGCTATACTAGCTTTAAAATTGTACTTATGCCTCAGTCTATGCATTGACCTATACGAACAATATTTATAAACTATGTTCAGGCACATGTAACCTAGGTCTGCATCTTTTGGACAGAGATTATTTTGTTTAGAATACTTCAAAAGAAGTGAAGAACCCTGAAATGTGTTCTTGCTTCTGAAAAAGTACGTGGGTCTCAGAAGGTGCTTATGAGTTTTAGAAAGATAACTTACTGCTCACAAAGTTTGTAACTTCTGTTTCAAATTTTTTTGCAGCCTTTACAATCTTCAGCAATTTCTCTTACACACATCTTTTACATTGTATAGTTATTTTCTCACTGTAAAAATAGAGTGGCCATACCTTTTTGTCTAATCAATAGTTGTTCAGGTTTGGGATTTTTTTTTTTTTTTATTTGAAGTCATGGTTCTGAGAAGATGTCTGGGTTTTTATGGTTTAATATGCACTTCTTAAAGGCTTTACATGATATCCGTGATGCTCCAAAGTGTCTATACAAAGAGACTGCAGAATTGAAGACCTCTCTAGATAAAGATCTCTTTGTGTAACATTTGAATGCAGTGGTACGTGATAGCATTTCTGTTAGTTTTTTGATTTGTCAATCTAGTATTTTTCAGTGAAAAATTAGCTTGCTTCTAAAATAAATTCTTTGTATTCTTTGCTGTGTGGAAGTCCATTCCTGCATAACAATTTACACAATTGTATTGAGAGGTTTGTGAAAAATGTTTTCAACGTCCTGTGGGAACAACTAGAAGAGAATCTGATAATGATTTCTTTCTCTCTTGACTTTTGGTTCAAAAACAGGGATGTTGTGGAAACACAAGAGCATTATAAGAGCAGGTGGCGATCCATCTGGATTATGTATCTTACCATGTTTCTCAGTAGTGTAGGTGAGTAAACAGAGATGGATTTCAATGTTATTTGCTGAATGAATATATTTTGGTTTGAAAATGACAGGGTTTTCTGGATTTCAACTACATATCTCCTTTAATGCTACTGTTCTTTTATAACTTTTTTAAAGTGCATTTTCTGATTCTTCACAAGAGAAGATATGACTAGCAAATCAAACAAAGTTACATTTAAATTAAATAGTGTTGAATTTAGTTACAGTTAAATAGTACTCTGTTTTGAGACTAAATGACATATTACTTAAATCTTTGTTTTATGGCTTTATAATAGTTTGGGGTAAAAGGTGGTGGCAGCGTAAGGTTATTGCTCAGAACCAAACAAAACAAAGGTCACGCTTTTATCATTCAAAGTGCAATGTTTAGGGAATGAGAATAGAAATAATGCTGAGCTCTTAAGAGGTAAGATCTTTGTGGGAATATATGTTGTCTATTTCAAAATGTGTGTGAGAGCTTGTTTTCTCCTATGGGATTTTGCATCTCCACTGCAGAACAAATTACTGTTTCATTCCTAAATAACTGCCCCTGGAAACAAGACTTCCGGTGATTTTTGACTTCTGGTAATTTTCTGTGGGCCTGGAAATCATCTTGAAAATCACAGGATACTTCAGTGATTTTTTTTTTTTTTTTAATTTGATGAATTAAAATTTCTGTGCTAAATGAATACAAATATGTCAGTATATCAAGAAATTCTTTTTACTCTGGGGACCTTGTTGTCTTTCTATTGGGAGGAAAAATCCCATGCAGTTTGCTTGGCGCATCAGTATTCTTTCCATAGGAGTTTTTTTGTTTAGTGCATACGCACCTATCAAATGTCCTTTTAAAAACAGTTCCTCCTATAAGGAGGAATTATCACTCCTTAAAAAAAGCATGTAATACATAATTTTTTCAGATGACAGAATGATGCACAGTATTAGACTATAATACAGTTAGGAGCAGAAGAATGAACCTGTAGTAACCGTTTCAGTAAAGCGAATTACTGATAAACATGGCAAATTAAGTAACTTCCATTATGTTTTTACTGCATTGCAGGTTTCTCAATTGTAATTATGTCTGTGTGGCCATATCTCCAAAAGGTTTGTAAATATGTTTTTTTGAAATTAAAAAGAACAGAAAACTCCTCCTCAGAAAGTACGTCATGCAAAACTTGGCATTTTATTTAGGAAAAGAAACAGTAAAGGGAAGTATGTGGTTATAAGAGACTTTTATTTTGCCATCCACTTAGACAGCTTTCATTATTTCATGTAAAATCTCTCAGTTTATTTCCTGAATTGATAAAGGTACGTCATAATCCAGAAGTGTTTGGTTTTCCAATATAATCTCACTGTTTTCTTGGATAGTCAATCAATAGAACTCTCTTTATCTTAATGCATTTGCAGTGTTAAAACAAAATACACAAGGCTTGTCTGCATTGGCGGGGGGAGGGAGGAGGAAGGAAGCTGAAAGTAGGAGTTGCTCTGTAAATGTCAGATTGTTGCATGTAGATCTTCTTGATATTCTGAATTGCCTGTGTTGCTGGATAGTGTTTTTAGTTTGTTTGGGTTTTTTCCCCCCTCTTTGTTGCATTCTTGTTAAAAGTGGCATGAAAGTTCTCTAAGACTTTAATCTGTGCTAGGATTTTACTGCTCCTGGAATTGTAGAAGGCAGTTCCAAATGCAAATTTGGAAGAACGCTTCCTGGACAGGGTCCTAGACGTATCGTTAAAATTGAGGCTGGTGCTTGGAGTAGACAAGAAAATGCATCATCAGCCTTTTAAATCAGGGCAGATTCAGGCATGTGCAGAGATGACTTGAGTGATTCCTTGCTCCTGGCACATAAACTGCCTACTGTAGTGCTTACGTTATATCTATAGCCTATAACATCAGCAGTGCTGTATGAAAACTATTTGAATTTGCTGCAAGTGAGCCATTTCTAGTCTCAGAAGCGAAGCACTTTTTATTGGTTTGGTGCATTGCTGGAGCCAGTTAGCCAAGGTTTATTGCCCCAGAACAAGTACCAAGTGAAAACAACTGCTTCTGAGACCCAGAGTGGTGTATTTATATTAAACACGGCACAATGCCGTGCAGACACACTAACTTGTTTAGCGATAGCTTAGGTTTGACACTGCATTGCATAGTGCCATATACCCTCAGAATTACCGTGCAGAGTCTAGATATTTCAGGTACTGATTCTAAAATGGTTTTGTTGATACTATAAAACACTCTAAGACTTTACCCATAGAATTGATTAATTTGTTTTTGCAGATTGATCCGACAGCAGATGCGAGTTTCTTGGGCTGGATTATAGCTTCTTATAGCATTGGCCAAATGGTTGCCTCTCCCCTGTTTGGCTTGTGGTCCAATTACAGGCCAAGGAGAGAACCTCTCGTTATTTCAACTGCTATTTCAGTAGCTGCTAATTGTCTTTATGCCTACGTTCATGTACCTCATTCACACAACAAATACTACATGCTGACTGCACGTGCTCTTGTGGGATTTGGAGCAGGTAACCACAGCAGAATTTACATTTCTGAAAATTATTAAATTCTGTGTCTTGTGTAAGATAGTTGGCATGGTATTTCAGTACCAGATTTATCATTAGATGAATGATAACTTATTACTTAACAAAGCAAAGAATCAGCCAATACTAGTTTATAATAAAATTGTGTAGTTGTGCAGTTACGTATAAATACTAGAGGGAGTGCTGGATTTCATCTTCTTGCAAAATAAGAAAAAAAACCCAAGAACACGTAAAATAAATGTAACTGTATAATTTAAGAGTATAACTTAATGTTTACATAAACACTTTCTTGTTTTGGTTTTTTTTTTTTTTTAAGGAAACGTGGCTGTAGTTCGATCGTATATTGCGGGTGCCACTTCTCTTACGGAAAGAACAAGTGCCATGGCCAATACCAGTGCCTGCCAAGCAGTTGGCTTCATATTAGGACCAGGTAAAGCATATCTTCTTTCCTCACTTCTCTAATACTTTTTAGGATTAAATTGGGCATTGGAAGTAGGAATACTGAGCAGCTGTGTGTTGGGGATTTTAAGGTACGGTTTGTCAGTGGTATCAAAATTGTATAAATGGGATCCATTCATATATACTTGGTATGCCAATATAAATGAAATATTCTAGTCCAAAGAAATTCTAATTGTTTGTTCTTAAAAACTAGCTGTTTTGGATTGCTGGCTGCAGGAAAAACAAGTTCCAAGATGCTCTCTTGCACCAGTACCCACTAAATAGTCTATGACCAATTGCACTTTGTTCGTGGAGAAGGGAATTTAATATTACTGTACTTGGGCAAACATTTCCACCTTTCCGAAATGACTGAAAATTTCACCTTACCTCACATGTTGTAGAAAATAATGTCCAACAGATCCTTCTGATCTCGTGGTGACAATCACAAAATCTTCATATTGGCAAAAATTTTAAGACATAGCACAGGTATTGCAGAGAGCTAAGGGAACAAAGAGCTCATGGGGTGTTTTTCAGACCAGGCGTAACTGTGGCTCCTGAGATACTCTTATCTGCTTTATGGGAGAAATGCATTAGACTTGCCTTGTGTTGTAAAGAGAGACCAGCAATTTTGTCCTAAACAGCCTCTAAAGGTTACTTGTCTTCTATAGCTGTAGGTTAAGATTATCCAATTAGTAGAGCTGAAGTGCTCTGTATATGGTAATATAATGAGGTGAATGTTTAGGGCTGAAAGTTTATTCTCCAGTTGATTATTACTAGTGCTATTGATAGAGCATTAAAGGGTCTACAGCAACCGAAAAACTGCATTCTTTGTGTGATTTGCAGAGAGTGTAAGTTTAGGTAATTCCCTTTCCTAATTTGGTAGGGACTCAGTCTGTTTCCTCACAGTAGTAAGCAAATGACCTGATCTTACAATCTTTTGCTCTGCACCAATTTAAATTTTAATTTAAAAAACCCCAAAACTTCTTTTCTCTCCAGCTTGCCCTTAGCGGAGGGATAGTCCAGTCCCAGGACCAAGGTTTTCCATGTAGGAGGAAAAGGAAAATGAGTAAATCAGCTATTTGCACATGGCCAAGAAAGTGAACCATTAGTACACTCAGAATTCAGTTCTAGTTCTTTAAGTGTCATGCTGTTATTTATACAGTTTATTTGTATGTAACCAAGTAATTTTCTGGCTAGTTGAGATCCCACTGGTATCCATCAGTTGATTTAGAGTAGGGTTCTCAGAATGTAAAAGGTTTGACAGGTATAATATTTAAATTTTACTTAGGAATTAGAACAACTTTCCTTATGTAGTTTTATATGTTTATTCTATATGCATTCTAATATTTTCTTAATACATTTATGTTTTTAAGTTTTTCAGACATGTTTTACACTTATTGGAGAAGAAGGAATAACATGGAAACTAATTCGTCTTCAGTTGAACATGTATACGGCACCAGTTTTATTTGGAGCTCTCTTAGGAGTTATTAATATTATTCTCATCTTTGCCATACTCAGGTAATCGAGTCAAAAAAGAGAAATATTCTACCTTGTTTTAGTGGGTGGCTTGTAACAAATAATATGTTGCTCAGAAGGAGGAGTAATAAGCCTGAAATCTGGAGCACTAAAACTATAAGCCGCTGTTTATTTCTCAGTGTTTCTACCTTCTTTAATACATATCTTTTTCATTATGCTTATAAATTAATCATAGTGATGTTATGGCTAGAATGTAAACTGATGAAAAAAGTTAGAGCAGTTAGATTATTAGCTTAGCCTTGAGAAATTTTTAATGTTGATGGTTTCTGCCCATGTTTTTTCTCTAAAGAGAAATAAGGTTAGCTTGTCTGTAGGGTTCTTGCTGTCTGTGTCTTTCCTTTAAGAACCTCAAGGCAGGATTTTTATGCATTATCCCATTGGTGGCAGTGAGGGGAGGGGAGAGATGCACACCGATATGTGATACTCTCCCACTAGAATATTTCCCTTCTTGAATATGCTGGTGTTCACTGCAGCCAAATGTAGACTACCCAGATGATGTTTAAAGGAGCTGGGAATAATTAGAATATAAGACCATGCCATTTAGAAGTATTTTAATAGAAACTGGAGTCAATAGTAGATCAAATAACTATGTGTATTAATGAAAACAGTTCTAAATTTCTAGAGAGCATCGAGTGGATGACCTGGGTCGGCAATGCAAAAGTATCAATTTTGAAGGAGAAGGTATCTATTTTTTCTTGAAAACTTACTCTGTGATGGTAATTTTGAAGTACTCTGTTATTACATAGAAGCTTTTAGAAGTATTCTGAAGTTGATGGGTTGGGAACTGAAAGTGGAAAATAGGCTGTATCTCTTTCTAACTGGTCCAGAAATTGCTTCACGTCCATGTTGTGCCCATGTGTGTCCATAGTGCTGTCTGGTACCAAAGAAGAAAAAAAAAAAATTGTATGGATCCTTCCAGATTTTCACCCTGGAACTGTCTCTTCCAAGAGACAGGATTAAGTGGATATGGACATGAGAAAAATCTCCCTTAACTTCTACTCTGCAGTCATACCTCTCTTTTGTTCTGCATCATGCTGAGTAATTATCATTATTGCATGTCAGCTTTCACATACGGCATCTTATCAAAAGATGTATGTTGTATAAGTAAATTTGTTGGTGATACTAAAGTACAGTAATTGCCACATACAGTGCAACAGCTTATCTTCAATATATACCCCTTTTGTGCACAGTTCAATTTTTTTAAAATGTTGTGGGTATCCTTTTCACTTGAAGAATAAAAAGTGTATGAAAGATGATCTTAAACCTCTCTCAAAATCTATGGAAGTCACAAGTTTCAGTATTGTATTCCTTTTCTGTTTAAAAAGGGAGCTTTATGTGCACACCACACATGGGTGTTTTGTATATGAAAATGCTACGCCCAGGTTAGAAGAACAAAGGCTCTGTGGTGCTGCAGAATCCTACTCTTGTGTACTTCTGACCTTGCAAGAGGAACAGAAAGTGTTTTGGTTTCCATTGGCAAGATATTTAAAGAAGTTTGCTTATCTTGCTGTCACTCAAGACTTGTCAGTCCTAGCATTACAGTGGGACCACAGATGGTATAACTAATTTGGAAATAATTTTCCTTCATTGTCAGAGGAGTTAAAATTTCAGCAATTCCATTTTGATTTAAAAACATTATACGTAGATTGTCAAAATACAACTGCCTAGCCGCCCACCAACCTGCGTGTTAAATACTTAACGGAGTAAGGAAATCATTACCGTTTGTAATTTGTGGTCGTGTGAAGAAAGCTCAGTTTGCAGTTTAGATTATTGTTTTGCTTTGTTGCAGAAAGTGGTGTTCTGGATCAGGATGCAGAAGGAAACGTTGACCATGTTGCTGTGGTAGCAATCAATTTTCTTTTCTTTGTCATCTTGTTTGTGTTTGCTGTCTTTGAAACGTAAGTTTGTCTATTTTCTCTCAAAATGCTTAAGATGTGTAATGTAGTTAGACTGGGTATGCACGTAAAGGTTTTTCTGTTGCACTTGCTTGCTTAACCACACTCTTCAGAAATAGAAGTCCAAAACCATATGCGATCAAATTGATGTATACTGATACAGAGTAATGAATTAAAGGTCAGTAGTAACTGAAAATATGTAGCATACAGTTTGTAGTATATGAAACATTAATGTAAAAGCCTTTGAATTGATGCAAACCCACATCCTCAACTTTTTAAGTGTTAAAAAAAAAAGTAGCTTAACTTGGGCTACCTAAAATCTTCAGAGAAAACTGTCTTCAGTTGAGTACCTTGTTCTATACTTTCTATTTTAATTTTGTGTAATTTCTTAGTGCAATTCTGGTTAGCTCTAAAAGCTCTAGTGAATCTTTTAGTAATGATTGTTTCAGGAAAGATTAAAACAATTGTTTGATATAGTTAATGCAGTTGTATTCTTAAATAGACTATTTTACGTGACTGGTTTTTTACCTAAAGAGGTATGTTATTCACTCCCAAATTTTCTGTGTATAAGAAAATAAGTAAAACATAACATTATCTCAGACTGAAGTATACTTCCTATTTTTAAGTTATAAAATACTTAGAGGATATAAGATTTATTTTTGTAAGTTTTTTGATCTGTAACGTAGCTAAAATTTCTTTTAACAATATGTCTTAACTGAGGTATTTTTAGAAAAATTGAGTTCCTAGAGACTAGTTGGTTGCTAAAACTGAAACAGTATTAAATGTTTATTATTTTTGTACTCACAGGGCCTGATTTTTTTTTCTCTCTCTATTACTGTTGCTTTGCTTTAACTCCATCTTTTCATTAAATAGATTAGTGATGCTTCAGAGTATGGCTGTTGTAATGCAGTTGTGAATTTTGTCTAGTGGATTTATTTTTAATAAATTATGCATGATGGAATTAGTTTATAACTAGCCTGTGTTTTCTGATAAGTTCGTGAGGAGGAAAGGCTTCTATACCACTGTGTTTGATGTTTGGGACAGTATACGCATGTAAATGGCTGTATAGAAGAAGCTTTTTTTTAATTACTGTCATTTTGTTCTGTCAATTTAGTATAGCTACTCCATTGACGATGGATATGTATTCCTGGACCAGGAAAGAAGCTGTTTTTTATAATGGAATAATCCTTAGTGTGGTCGGCATTGAATCGGTTATTGTTTTCATGGTGGTTAAAACACTATCTAAAAAGTAAGATTTTGGAGTTTATCGGAATTTTCTTAGTTATGTTAGCTAAGTGTGAGAAGCTTTATGGCAAGGCCAAATCTGCATTACTTAAATCTTTTACTTGTTAATGAATTTGGGTTTACTATGACAATGAAGTACTTCCAATTTAGACACAGCCGTGATGCTGTGGTTGTTCTTTATTCTGTTAAAATAACCCCCTTCCTCATCTGTCTTTTACCCTCAAATCACAAGAAAAACAGGTTTTAAGTAAGTTACTGTGATTTTTGCAATTTTTGTTGCAGGTGTTTTGGTCAGGCATCTTTTCAGCAAACTAATGGGCTATGTCATTAGCACCTTCATAAATTTTAATTTAATTAAATGATATATTTAACTGTAATTTCATTGTTTGATAGGACTGGTGAGCGTGCTATACTCCATGGAGGCTTACTGATTGTCTTGGTTGGATTCTTTATCTTACTGCCTTGGGGGAAAAAACTACCAAATATCCAGTGGCAAGGTATAATTAAAGTCCTACTAAACTATCATGGTAATGTTTATTGAAAGCTTTTTTTTGTATTTTTTTCTTAACGGTATGCATAACTTGGTTTTACAGAAATAAAGAATAACTCCATTCCCAGAACAACTTCCATTGAAATGTTAATGCCTTTCTGGAGTTTGCAAGCAATGCAGCTTCCATCCAACCACACAGTGGAACCCGTAGGCTGCCCTGTCACACAGTCCTGGTGCCTGAATACTCCGATGATCTATCTGGCCCAGTACATCAGCTCTGACATACTAATAGGATTGGGCTATCCAGTTTGTAATGTCATGTCCTACACTTTATACTCAAAAATTCTAGGACCAAAGCCTCAGGTAAAAGCACGATGCCTAAACAGTTTATTTCATTTGCTCTCCAGGACTTGCACCCTCTTTATTAGAATGAGGGATCTAGCTGAAATTCCCTTTGCCATTAGCCAAATAAGAGTATGTTTCAGCCAGGGCAGAAGTTTCCAGGAATTCTAATCTTTTTTTGAAAATCCAAGGCAAGTCCCTAGAGGAATTAGAAAGCAAGGCTTGTATTACAATTTATGGCAAATCTTACAGCGTGAAAATTTCAGAACAGCTAAGCCCAAAGCTTGTGACTTTCACAACAGTTCTGGAAGAGTCATTTTTGTAACAACCAATTACATATTTAGAATATGAGTATGGAATAATGTTCCTCTTAAGTATATTATATAAGGACTAAAAATGCGAGGATGCCCCCAGTTACTGGCATTTCACAGCGATGAAACACATAGCATGCTGATATTACTACTTAATAAAAGATTTTCTTCCTTTTTCACCAGTTATCTAATTTTTCCATGTTATATTTTGCTGTAAGAGACTAAATGATTTGAGCCAGAATGCCTTTTTATTAGAAAGCTATAGAGTATGCAGCTTAGTGCAGTCTTTGAATTAATGCTTGGAGAAGCTGAGCAGTACTCTTGGAAACAAAGTACTCAGTATCTTAATGAGTTAAGAAAGATAATCAATTGCTTAAACACTTCTAAATTTTCTAATTAGGATAATTGGTGGGAATTACTGGCAAGCCAAATAATTCCTGTATCACTAACATAAGCTTTTGATCTTCTGTAGGGTGTCTACATGGGATGGTTAACCGCCTCTGGAAGTGGAGCACGGATACTTGGGCCTGTTTTTGTGAGCCAAGTATACACTCACCTGGGACCACGCTGGGCATTTAGCTTAATCTGTGGAGTAGTTGTAGTCTCTCTCTTACTCTTGGAGATAGTATACAAGAGACTAATTGCATTTTCTGTCAGATATGGAAGGATGCAAGAAGAGAGTTGTTAAATACGCGTTTGTTTTTTTTTTAAAAAAAGTAGAACCAACCAAAAATAATACTTAGTTTATTACTACTTTTTAATGAGGAGTACCTAACCACTGACCTTGTTGGCCGTATGCTAAGAACGGTACACCTGTACTTACACATTGACAGAACACATAACTTGGTCATATCCCAATACATGGTTACACCTGCTGCAAAAGAGCTTTTGTATTCTGCTTTTCTAGCAGCAGAGGAAGGGATGTGAACAAGTTAGATCGATACAATGGCACATTTGAAGTGCGTACAGCTTAAATGATGCACCTGTGTACTGAATGCAGCTGTGAAGGTCACAGGTTACGTGCATCCTTTCCAGAAAGAGGTAAAAGAAAATATTATCTTGATTCTGTGAATCAGGATTAGTAACTCTTTTGTAACTACAGGATTAGTTGAGCTGCATGTACTTTGTATGGAAACATCACTACTTAAGCGAATCTTCTGATGTTCAGTTTGCTAGCTTGTAAGCACTGATTAATACAAAATGTCTGACTTTGGAAACTGATGTTACATACCAGTACATCTTCTCCCCGATTTCACATGAAATGTGACAGAATTGTAGAGGAAGGTGGGTACCTGTTTCACAAGCAATTTATGTGGGATTTGGGTATTTAAGTTAGTTAAGAGCCATTGAAAATCACAGCCTCAGTGGCTGTTACTTGAACTACAGTGAACCAGATGTGCAATTTTTCTTCTACTGTTTTGCTGAATGCCTTTTAGTAGAAACAAAGATAACCTGCACAGAGTTGAAATATGCACAGCTTTTCTTAACTTTACTACAAGAAGGAAATACTAAGCAGGATAGTTTGCACTTTCATTGTCATTGGTGAGAATGAATGCACTGTGCTGAGCAACCAGTGTTAATTAAGTAAAAAGGAGGAAACTGTCTCCTTGCGTGTTGACTGTTATCTATAGGCTTATTTTGCTGATAATATGGTATGAGAAAGGAATTTACAATGTTTGACTCATTCAGTGTTTATTTGAAAACATGAAGTAATAATTTTCCTTCATAATGGGGGCTAAGCTCTTCTGTATGGGTTTGTTCTATCTGTTTCAATACTACTGGGGAAAAAAATCTGGAATAACTCCAGTATGAGAGTTGTAGCTGCTGTTTAATGTGTCTAATATTTGATCCTTACTGAATTTAATATATGTAGTTAAGTATTCCTATGTAATCAATTGTTAAAACACTAAAAGACTACTGAATTAAAAGATTATTTTTTCAAGACTGACTGAAGGGAATACAGAAGTTTTACTCTCTCAGGCTTTCCTGCTGCAGAATCACAAAATGTCACGAGAAAAGACTTTGCTTCTATAAGCATTTCTTTTACATGCTAATTCATAATAAATAGTACCAGAAATACTGTGGTTTGGTGGTGAAAACAGACTGCAAAATGAAGTGCTTAGAGTTACAGCAACCAAAAGTTAACTTCAGTCATGAGAAATTGGTGTTTCTTCAGACCTGAGAAAGGCAAGAGTTTTCAAAATGGCTAACATAGTTAGGAGTTCATGTTCTATAACTCAGTTTGTGCTGAAGGTTAGGACACCATCTGTATGTTGTAGGGTTTTTAGTATTGTTGTTCAGGCTAGCTCACTTCCAACTTAAGAGTGAGAAAATGTTTGGGTACTTGGAGGGATTATTTTACCTGTAACTTATTTAAAGGGTTAAGGATAAAACTAGATTCAAGTCTCTTCTGCAGCAAATATCTGTAGAATACAGAATAATCCTCAAAAGGAGTAGCCCATGCACATTACTATGTTTACATAATGATTAAAATAAGAAAGCACGATTGTAAATTCTTTGGCCATGAGAATTTTTATTTTCCTAGGTCAGCTGTGTTTTAAGTTATGGCTTGCTTGTTATAGGTTATCATCCTCTCATTCTTACAAAACATGTTCTTGTTATCCACATGTACGGCTTCTGTTTTTTCTTTTTATTCTGGTTAGCAATTCCAGAACAAAAAGAAAACTGGTGTGGCTGATAATGTAAGTTTTTAACATGCAGTGCTGACCCACCTCTTAACCAAGGTTGACTTGCTACTTTAAGAGTCAGTTGATTGAAGATTAAAGCACTAAACCAAAAACATTTATTCTACGAAAGGTGTATTTATGTGCATGTGCACATGTTTGTATCTATAGGTATATGAAAAAAACTTAGGGTCTGCATAAGAGCTATGCTTATTACTTGGTTTTTCAAAGACTTGCAATAGTTAACTCATTTTACTGTGCAATTATTCCATCTGAGTATTAAGGTCCAACATGAAAAGATACACATCTCAACTGCCAAAGCAGTTTAAAAAAATTTCTTTTGGAGAATCATTTAAGGTTTTGGGGCAGGAAGGGTGTTGTATATCTTTCTTGATGCTACTAGTGCCACATTCTTTATATACAAGCTATTTACTTGATTTGGACATGACAAAATAATCAAAATTGTGTCTGTCAGAGACCAGATAAATAAGGAGAACTGACTTGAAGTCAAGGCTATTCCAGCAGATTCAAAAAAAGCTGTATTAGAACATGTCTTTCTTGAGGGTTTTACAGCTCAGTTTATTGTGCCTAGACCACATATGCAAGCCCCCATCAGCACCCCTGAAACTCTCCATCCTCCCTGCTACTGACACCCTTTTGGATCCCACTCTTGCACTTAACTTAAGCCTTTCTCCTACCTTATAAAGAAGTTGGAGTATTTATTTATGAATATAAGCACCATCAGTAGTGTTAGCACACTGAAACAAAATGCTTAAAAAAAAAAGCTAATGTTAATGCTACTTCAGTTTCTTACATGTGATTCATAATCTGCAAGACAAGGTAAAAGTACCTAAAGGTATTAAAATTCCTACAAAGTAACAAGCTGAATCCGTTACTACAGTCTATGTAGTTCACTTTCCTATCATGGACTGTGCTCCTATTTTTAGTCAGCTGTAAGCCAAAGGTAAAATACTGAATACACAAACCACAGTGCAATTTTTCAGTTCAGCGAATTCAAAGGAACTTTGTGCAACAGTTTTACACTGTTTCTCCCCAAGCTTCACCCAGTCCTCAACTCCCAACATATGATGCTCTATGGATACCCGGTCAGCTCCTGTTATAAATTGAGCTTAATACTTAGAGGAAAGGGCTCTTAATAAACCATCACTTGAACATGAAACAAATAAATAGATCTGGATGATTACCACTGCATTTATTTTTTTTTTTTGTATAAAATGCTTGTGCAGGGAAGTTAAAGCTGCTGCTACAAAAAAAAAATAAAAACAGTTATAAAACATATACATATTTACATATATTACTTGCAAGACATAAAAATATAAGTTATTTACAAATACAAACACTCAAACAGCACAGATGCATTTTCCTTGATTGTTGGCACCGAGTAAGCAGCGGGGGAAGAAAAAAAATACAACAGATTCAGATTATTTCCAGAAAGTTGCTGCTATCTAGAACCAAATTGCTCAGAGTTTTGCTGGGGCAAGTTTATCCATCATTTTGAGGAAAAACATGTTTTGTAAGATACTTCAACAAGCTATTTGCTACACATGAACAGAGCAACCCTTCCCTTCCTATTTTTTTTTTTACCAGCTTTTTGAAGAATTTCTGCGTAAGCTGAGTACGATCAGTCACTTTACTTGAAAGTCAGTGAGTTTATTAAGCTCTTGTGTCCTGACACCTACTTTGCTTTAATCAGTGAGGACCAGCTGGATTGGTAAACATCACAAGAATGGAAGACAGACAGTGTAGCTTCTCTTTGATGTATTCTGGCAACTTAGCATTTTCTCCATACCTAGAAAGGCAAATAAGCATTAAAAAAGTTAGATGCCTGAAATAATTTGCTTTCAGGACAATATAATCATTTCAAAACTTGCCTGTAAATAGGAAAACCACTAAGTCAAGTAGGTTTTAAGTACATCTAGACACATTAATTGGAGTTTGATAGCTTAAATCCAGGCCCCCCCTTCCCTATGTGTATTTAACTGAAAAAAGTGTTTCAGATGAAGAAAATATCTAAACAGTGTTTAAAACTGCAATAATATCTGAGCAGACTGTATGTATATATATTACCGTCTCAAACTTTGCACAGAGGAAGGGTGTTACAGAGTAGCTGTATTTGTAGGGGAAGTGCCCAGTGTTCAAAAGATACATAAAGCTTCACCTGAGCGCTTCAGGTCTGTGCATCAATGTTGGCATGCTATCTCCCTAATCTAGCAGTATCTTTGAGGGGAGAAAAAAAAAAAGTATTAAAACCTTACTTTTCTCCCCATACATGAATCGTGGCTATACTCTAGAGACCAAGTAGATGCCTTCCCAGCTTTTTTTATTCATTACCCAGAGTTCAGTCAAAGCTATAGGTGTTTCTCTTTACTTATTAAGCTTATATAAGCTAATCAACTGAGAAGTGACTGAAAAGCTAAGTTTTAATATTTACAAAACAAAACAAATAGCAGCTGTGAAGTTTACCTTGTGTATAACAGCCTTACACTAGCAGTAAACAAAACTATTTTTTGAGCAGTAACAGACTCACCTAGTTGTCTGGCCATCTGGAGATGTGTAAGTGATAGAAGAAACACCTGCTTGGGCTACCAGTTGGGATCCATCATTAAACTGAACCCATACTGCTCCACTGGTCAGCTAATGAGAGAAGTTGCATTATGGTTTGAGGACATAAAATACAAGATTATGTACCTAGAATTTTTCTAATAATTGTAGCTGAAAGTTTTTCAGAATTGCTGAAGTGACTTGGGCACTTTGGTCAGTCTTTTAAAGATGAAGACGGCACATTTACTACTTCGGAGTAAGTAGTGTCATGCAGTCTAAAGAATCAGACTTCCTAAGGTTTCAGGTACTCGCCTTCAGTCATCCTTTGCAATGACAGTTAAATAAAGTACCTCTGGCTTAACCACTCCCAAAGAAATTTTAAATAGGACCAAACGTAAAATAGAAGGCCCGTTTGTAAAAGTTCACAGCTGTATACATTTTGAAGTTTATATATATAAAGCAAACTTTCTCTGTTAGGACAGGAAGCTCACTTTATCTGGATTGCAGAGAACCATTTTTTAAATCTAAAGCTAGTCCCACAGAACAGCAGAGGAAAAATTTCTATGTAAGGAAACAGCTTTTCTTGTTGTACAGGCAGATTCTTCTTCTTGTACAGATCTGGTACATATCTGTTAAAAACACGATGTCATGACACCTTTACATCCATATTAGTGAACAGACAGAAGTTGAACAGCTTCAGTTTTTTACTAGTCAAATTTAAATGACAAGGCACTGAAACAGGCAATAACTATGACAGGAGGATTGTAATAACTGAAATACAGAACTATTATTTTGGTTTCTTCTACTTATGTAGTTCATCATGGTATTTATCCAAGACGCTTGTTTGGAAGGATCTTTACACATACCAGATTTAAACTGTAGCAAAGCACAACTGAATGTATTCCTCACAAATCAGGTTTAAAGTTAATGACTGAAAAATATGTATCTCAAGTTTAATAGGCAAAAAGAACAGACTTCCCTCCTTTATGAGTATTCATTTCTCACCTGAGAAGCCCAACCAACGTTTTTCACAAAGACAGATTTTAAAAGTTGGGCTGAATTTGGACTGCATTCCGTTTGATGAACAGAGGAGCATGTAGTTTCAGCAGTGTTAGTCATAAAAGTAGACTTTTCATACGACACCACCTAAAACCCAGAAATGCACAGTATTAGCAGCCTTAGTATTAATCCGACTGATTATATACCAACTATAGTGGTCAATTCCCACCTGTTCTAATCTTCTCATATATACAGACAGATTTAGCCCATATGCTTCATTTAACAGCATTACATTATAAAAACCCCACAGGATTTCGTATGACTTTCTCAGTACTATGAGAGTTTTTCTACCACTTCCCTGTACTCACAAAGGAATTGCTTTCCATAAGCAGACTTTTTCTACTTAACCCCCATTTTTCCTTATCTGACTGACAGAAAACCCTGTCTATCTTCAGCAAAAATGTTCAGCACGTTAGATTATAAAGCAGCCCTCATTCAGATGACCACTTGGCCAATATTTTACAAAATATGGACATAGTTATTAATTGGAAACTAGAATATTAAACATTAATAGAAGAGTTCTACGGCACATACAGTGTCTGTTACAGGTTTAGAGAGGCAAAAAGTGATGAATTAAGAATAACAGAGGAGCAAACATCAGAGGCCTTTAGGACAACACCACCACCACTACTGTCTAGGAGAAACACATCTGCTTCTATAAAAGTTCTACTACTCGAATACCTCCTCCCATAGTCACAGAGATGACAGAGATGAGGTGGTGTGCTTAGCAGTATTTAAGATTCAGGGTTCAGTGAAAAGATGCAAGTCAGGGGATGCCTCTGAAATAGGAGAGCTTGGTCAGGAAAGAGATCAGGATCCAGATAATTACAGGAACCTGAAAGAAACAACAAGCTGCACCTCAGGACATCCAGACCTAGTTCAATTATAAACAAACTGACAAAAAAAGTCAAGAGTAACACAGAAAGGCAACCAGATAGTGTGGTGTTTTCCTTAGAAGTACATACTTCAGAAGAGAAAGCAAACAGTGAAAGTGCTATATGGCAAACAAAGAATGAGTTTGAATGCTGAACCCTCAAGTTAGAACTCTGGTGATGGGTAACCTTAAGTCAGTGTAAAAAATTGACACTAGTACTGAAGCCCTAAGGAATTTTTGTTGCCAGGTTCATTCCAGTCAAGCAGAAACTGGCAGATCCTGCACTAAGGACATGTGCTACACAATCAAAGAGATGCAGACCCATGTAAATTCAAAGTTCAGATGATACAGACTCAGTGTGCCAAGACCCCCATATCATTCAGTCAGCTGGGGAAGATTTATCAGGGCTGTGATGCAGGAATTGAAGCTCGGTGGGTCTTTTAAACAAGCTAGATGAAATCGCACACAAAGCCTTGTTGGCTATACATATAAATACATTTATGCTTGCACTTTTTTTTTTTTAAACACACACTAACACTTGATCATTTCAGAACAATAGCCTCAAATGCTAATATCGTTTGTGACTACCATTCACTATAATGAAGGCCTGAGGACACATCAGAGCTCTCCAAAACAAACTGAAGACTGTGCTGCATAACATGAGTAAGCAACTTTCAAACTATCTTCCCAGGAGGCATTTGTGGTAAAGTTCTGGAGGATTTTGATTTTTCAGATTATCTTAAATCCAGATATCAAAAGTTAGTTAAAATCAAAATTAACATTTCTAGTCAATATGCTCACAAATGGCTAATAAAAGCTTATGTCCATAGAAATTTAATTCCATTAGTTCAAATAAAACAGCTATATTTGAATTCCTACTGGAGAGTAGTCTCTACTGTATGTTCTTGTGTACTTACAGGAGTACAGTTTGGCATCTGAACTGGAGTAGAACTGGCAGCTATATTTCTATCCAGTGCCATAACTTCTTTTGAACAGTTTGTGTTGTCCAACAGTGGAGGTACTACAGCCTGTGGCGATTCAGTAATGCCAGGTTTTCTGGAAAAATAATAAGACAAATTGGGAAAAGGTCTGTCCAAAAGGGACTAAAACAAGTGAGGAGACATAGCTTTTCCTTTAGCTTACCATGGACTGTACAAAGCACTTGATGGCACTGGTCTTCTGCAGAACTGTTTTTACACATGCTAATTGTTAGCCTGGTTTAGTCTAAATCCACAACTGTATGTTGTCCTAGCATCAAAGGAGGCTTTGCAAGTCCAAAATAAGGTGTTCATACATGCTATCAAGTTAATATTTATCTTGCTAATGACTATGAGCCTCTGTTAAGCAACCCGGGCTTCTGCAAACATCAGCTGCATAAGGATGCTTAGTAGGAATATTCAAATGCGTAAGTATTTTCAGGTGAAAGATACTACCTTCCAACAATTATTGGAAAAAATGGAACACTTGCACTCCTTTTTTCTTCTTCCAAGACAGCAGATTCCAGTGCAAGGCATATACGATGTCCCTGGAATTAGAAGAAGCTTCTTAAAGTTCTAACTGAGAACAGTATAACTATTTCATACATGTTTAGTGTGGCAGGTGAGCCTGCACAAGGAAATTTTTTTCAATGGTACTGAATATCGATTATAGCTGCACTCACATACCATGGAGGCAATTCAAAAATCTATACTACAGCAAGATTCCATCGTAACTTTAGCACATCTGGAATTAAGCTCTTAATAATCACATCTCCTCCCCTTTTAGCAGGACTAGATGAGGGTCTAGAACACCCCTGAATTCTCTTCCAGAAAATAACAGAACAGAATTTTGTACTATATTTTTACTGCTTCCTAAGTTCATAGACAAAAAATTACTTGTGACTGCTAATTGGGTGACATGAAACAAGAAAGTACAGTAGGAAGGCCAGTTAAACACCTGGCAGGTTTCTATGTTTTGTGTTTTTTTGGTTTGGCTTGGGGGGGGGGGGGGGGTTTTTTTTTAAAACTTTATACGTATAAAGCAGCTTCAACTGTTCTGTTTAATCCTTTCACCATACAGGCAAACCTGCTTTACACACTAGTAAGAATTTCCTCCAACAGTCTTCATTGTGAAGCATTGTTACTGCTACCTCTACATTGATATTTGCTCTTCCAAAAAACACTTTATCATCCCTCCTTATTAGTGTAATGAAAAATATGAAAAGCAACACTGAAAGCACATTTGTGAAAGAGAAACTGATTTTTCAAAAGGTTGCTTTGCACGAGAAAAGGTCTATATAAAAGTTTACCTCATTTGCATGATCCATATAAACTTGTATTTCCTTCTTCAAACCCGCTTCGTTTTCTCCTTTCAAAGTGAAGGACTTCCCTGATTTTTCAATCACGCGAGTTATACCAGCTGTCTTGTGTATCTTTGCTCCTGTAAAAAGCAAAAATTTCTAGTGTGAATTGTGTAACATCTATGAAATACAGATTTCTGCCATTACATTCTACTCTACTGAAGTGTATCTCACTGACTTAATTACTGCAAGAATAAAACCACTCCTGCATGAGCTCTATGTCTAGCAGAAATAAAAAGCCACTTAAATTGCAACTGTGGTATCAACGGAATGCCCTCTATGGCCACAGATCACTACTTAAATAGGCTGAATAATGCATTTATTACATATCTTAATAACTACCTTTCTAGACATTAATCTGAGACAAAATTAACATCTCTAACAGTATTGCCAAAGATTGGTTAATTAGGCTCTATTAGTATCTCAATACAGTTTTAAAAAAGATGCCCATTCTTTCAATAGCAGTTCCACACTGAATCACAAAGCTGCTAAGTCTTTTTTTTTTTTGTCATAAATTCTGTTGGGGTATATCTATACGTGTGGCAAATCAAACTAGTTGACAATAGTCTATAGTGAGAAAACAATCATCAGTGTAGTCTAGTTTATCAAGGGTAGAGTTGGAAAAGGCAGCCAACTGCTATCTCGAGCGAGTGTTCTTCGTAATACTATTACCTCAGTTAATGGAAAGCTTGGAGCAGGGACACACCTTTCACTAAGTAGGTTGACTATCAAATGTAGATGCAAAGAAGAGCTCATCAATAAAAACAAGGCATAATTTAAATAACATTTTTGCAACATGTAGTCCCTGAAGAAGGTATCGGGAAGGAACTAATGAATAATAAACTGAACTCCTAGTGCTAGAATAAAGGCAGAGTGGCAAAAAAAAGTTTCTAGTATTTTCTTCAACCTGAAGTGTTCATTGTTTCATGTTTGGCAATATTTTAGTGCAGCTTTAATAACATAACTATTTGCATAATTGCAAAAATGAATACATACCATCATAAAAACAAATTTCAACATCTGCAGTGGGTGAATTTTCCATCAACATGCACTTGGCATATCTTGTGTAGAACGTAACTTTGGGGGTTTTTGTTCTTACCAACTGCACAAACTTGGCTGCATACTGGTATTTTTTCCAGTACTTTTCTACAAAAGAAAATTTAAAAACCTTTACCAAAAAGTCATCAGATTAAACACTTTGCACCAACTTGAAGTAATTTAAAATACGTATTTGATAGCTGAAGGTTATAAGTAATATTTAAGTACTTAACAGAATTACGTTCAAAGAAACCAACTTATTTCCACCAACGTTTAGAAAAGTGTGCGTCTTCAACAGCTTCACTTGAATAGCTTCAATGAACATAATTCAGAACCTAAACAACATAGTAAAGTGCTGCATATACTGTTTCACTAGATATCGTGGTCCAGCTGGCTTCCTGGCTTTAGGTGAAACCTGTCTTTGATCTCTAATTAGTAGAGAAGTCTGCTTGTCTCTTAAAAGCTTACAGTTAGCTTATATTTTTTCTTCAGCTGTTTACATTAAATACTCTGTCAATGCTTTAAAGTATGTATTTTTTCCCCTTCCTCCCCAAGTTAAGAGTATTAGGAAGCACAAAGTAAAGCTGCTGTTTTAAAAAATGACCTGATAATATTTCTTCCACTCATATTTAAACAGCTTCCAATATGAACGAGGAGAAGATTATGAAAGCTTTAATTTTAGTACACTACATTGTAAAGGGGTAGGTGACTCCTTATAACTTCCATACAAAATGAATTAAGACCTGTAGGTTTAGGCTTTCTTGTGAAGTTTCAAAATACAGTTTCCAGTTAAACTGTAGTTTGAATCTTATTCTGAAAGGAGTTTTATCTTCACAGTTATCTGAAAAGTAGTGGCTAAAAGCTAAGAAGTCTCAAACAAGATTCACTTAACCACATTAATAATCATAATTTTAAAATAAATTTCAGGTTACCTGGCAAGTTGTCAAAATCATACATGCAGATGTCTTCAGGAGGAGCAGGAGGTCTGTCATCAAGAAGGAAACCTCTTCCTTCATTTGGATGATAAACTGCAATCTACAAAAAGGGAAAAAAATGTGTTTACAGTTGCCTCTTACTACAGCACTCCCTACTTTTAGCAGGTATGGAAATAAGTCACAGTTGAATTAATTACTGTAATTTACCATGAACACTCTATTCTCTAAGTAATTATTTAACAGCAGCAGTTTTTCAACAATACTTCACCTATTCCAAAAGTCAAGTCCAAATCTGCTCTTAAGTAATTGCTTGCTACCTATATTTGTATGGCTGTACTGGGGGGGGGGGCGGGGGGGGGGGGGGAGCTTACAGCTGTGCATATGGAAACATTGCACTTCCAAACAAATAATCACTTAAATGAAAATAAAAAAAACTCTGAAACAACAGAATGCTCTAAGCCCTTTATACAACAGTGAAGAAACTGAAAACATACTCACCACATTTCCATCACAAGATATTCTGAGAACTTCTTTCACAAGCTCTTGCGAGTGGTGTTCTTTTAGAAACTCCATACACACTTCCCCAGTATCTAGAATGCTCACCTAAAATATATTAAATATACATGTGAAACAAAAAGACCTTTACTTTCTGGCAAGATAAGATATCATTTCATTCCACAAATGCTTTTAAAAAAAGGTTTTCTTCTTCCTCGAATGCACTGCAAACTTATAAATGCTTATCACAGTAAATTTTGCTATTAATGCTATTCAAACAGAACACTTCAACATGACTGAAGGTTATAAGCCTGGTCAGTGAGGGTGTGGTTTCTTAAGTGACAAATCAAACAATGACAGGTCAGCTCTATTATGTTCTTTTTTTAAAAAAAAAAATTGGGGGGCAGGAGGAAACAGGACAGGATGAGCAGGACCATAAGAAATGGAACAAAAGGGTGATACCAGCAACAAACCAACCAGAAAATTTATGTCATCAGTAAGGATTAATGGAATTTGTTTTGCTTTCCCACCCACAAGACAGGGAAAAAGCAGCACTATAGGAAAAATATTAAAGTTTTTACTTGAGAGCAAGACTGTTTTCATTTCTAATCCAGTTATTTATCTCATCTGTAAAAGTGTTTGATCTGTTTGCATTTAAGATTTTAACTATGTCAACTGTATAGCTAAGCAGTACAGAGTTTTAGAACTGTACAAAGTATATATGCACTTAATATTTGTTATGTCTACCCACAGCTTCTTTGCTTGTCAGCTAAAAGCAATGCCATGTCACTACTTGCAGGAAGCGACCACAAGCATTCCATATACAAAACCCAAGATGCATCTTACTAACAGGACTTGAAATTAAATGACTATGGATTAACTTTTCTAAATACAAATGCTTCTGATTTACCAAGTTATTTTTAAGAGATAGTCACACTGTATTTAATACTTGAGTTGTTTCCATTTTAAGAGCTGATACATACCACTGCATTTTTTGTTTTTTGCCGGATTGGTTTTAGTCTGTGAGCATTGAGAGGTGACACTATACTTCGCAGTGTAGGTTTCTGATGTGCTGGTGGTTCTTTGCCCCACGTTTGGTTTTGTTCTGAAGTTGACCAAAGGCCACACGTAGAAGATGGTTGAATTTTCTCAGATTTGCAGAGAACTCCAGGGATGTATTTCTTTGGGTTTCTCTGGTTCAAAGAATGTGAACAGTCGATGGATGCATCATGATTCCTGATATCTTTTAAGGTGTTCCATGCATTTCTTGATGCATCTTGCTGCACATCCAGATACCGGAAACCCCCATGTGCATTACTGTTGCCAGTTAGGTCTGCAGGCGGTCTCAGTGGAACTGAAAGCATCATAAAAGTATATTGTAGATTCAAAGAGTCACAGTCAGAAGAAAAAAATGCTATTGTGTTTTTAAAAGCTTTTTGAAGTATCATCCTAGAAGGCTTATTGAAGTGGAGAACAGGATTTCTTCAATCCTCAGTCCAAAGCATTAAGCTACAACTTTAGTACCAATCAATACATGTGCTAACAAAATTCCAGTGCTACTTAAAATAGATTACTAGATTATATAGTTACTAGATTACTAGATTATATAGAACCTTAAAATAGGTTACTAGATTTCAGTTATGATGGCCTTCAACAAACAAAATACTAAGATTTCAAATAGGTACTTAAACAAGAATTAGTTTAATTTGTTGAAACACAGTTTACTTGCCATTCAGATAACCACTAGCACTGTTTCATTTAAGTTTCAGATTAACTAACTACTGTTTCAGCATCAAGCAGAGGGTTTAGTACTCAAGATGTTAAAAATTCACAGTTCAAACCCCTTGTTTTATTTCCAGTCACTTTTTAAAATACAAAAAACTATTTTTGTATTTAAACTTCCTATAACTGCTTCCCCAGTTTTGATATTTAAGCCCTTGATCAACTTTCACCTCACCCACACAAGTAATTCCCTCCTCCTGCCATGTTGCAGAACAGTTGAGAAGGGATCAAAAATTCAATAGGATTATTCAGACCATATGTCATATGATTCCAATTCCCTGTAGACAGGAAGGGAAGGAGTCCAGTAATATCAAAATAAAAAAGGCTAGAATGGATTTGCGATTTAGTTTTATGATTAAATTACATTATTTGTAAAAGATGTAACATGATGCATGACAAAAAACACCTCCTTCCCTTCTGTGTCTTTTAACCTTTCCTCCACCCCTCCTTCTGCAGCCTCATTATCCCTCATTCACTGAGGTCCCATTTTCTCTTAAGGTGTATTTGCACAACTAAATTAACAGGGCTTTTGAGTCACCTGCCAATTCTTTTGTTACGTATTTATACTTACACATTTCAGGCCACAACTGACTAATTATGGCAGGTTCTAGAATTGCGTTTTCCTTTTTTTTTTTTTGCTAAAATACTAAAAGGAGATAATTACCTCAGTTTTAGGAAGCTAAGTATTCAAATCCAACGTACAATTTCTTCACGCTTATGAAAGCGGTTACATACAGTTTATTATACTAGCCCAACAGCTTAAGAGGAATGCTAACTACAAAGTCTTCTGAAATTAATTCCTATCTCAGGAAACTAAAACATTACAGCTTAATCCGAAAGAGCAAACAAAACAATGTTTTCAATGGAATATTTCTTGCTTAAGAATGATACTACAGATTAGCAATGCTGGAAATCATTTTGCCTGTTTCAGTATCTGTGTCAATTTTTTACAGTGACAAGTCAGTTTAGGGTCTTCCAGGCTTTTAATTCAGGAAAAAAAAAAGTCTGCCTGCAGTAGCCTCTGTTAACATCCAGTCACTGTTATTTATGATGCCAGCTCTGGTATCACAGTTACTTAGCCATACAAATACCATTTCTGTTACAAGTTTAAAGAAATAAAATATAGAAAAACCCACAAAAATTGTTAGAAGTCACTACTCCAACTTGAGTGCAAAAAATGTACAACTGATTAGTTACACACCATTTGTTTGCATGCTTCCAAGCCACTGCTGCATTGTTTCAGCCTGGGACTTCTGCTCTAACAAACCAACCTGGGGCTTCACTGGGCAGAGATAATTTGAGCTGCAAAATAAAAGTTACACATGTAATCAAGATTACATCAAAGACACTTGCACAACAACAGTTATGTTACAGCTGCAGAAACCACAACACTTTTAGAACATTTAAGAAATGCAGGTAGCATTTCACAGCTCTAGACAGCTTAGAACATGCTTCTTTTTCATGGGGAATGTTCATTGGGTAAAGCATACAAAAAAAAAATACTGTTTCCAAACGGAATAAGAAGTTATTCCTAACAATTTAAGCCTGTTAGCACTCACTAGTAGACTCTTGGAAGTGACGTATATGAATAAAAAGAGCCATTGATAAAAAAAAGCCATCGCTGGCTGCTGCCAGCAGTGGCTGTTCTTACACATGGTTCTTAATTCACAGTATAGGAAACAACCTCAGAGAAGACACAGGAATGATGACCATGACCCCAGTGGATCTCATTCAGCATAACAAATACGCAGCTGAAATATGTAGGCAATCTTACCACCTAAAATAATTTGAGTTCATATAAAATACCATAAATCCCAAAGATTATAACAATTTTTACCAGCTTTTTAGAAAATGACATATACGTAGTCACAGGTGAACTCAAGGTATAATCCACATGCTGAAGAATAAAGAATACACACAAAAACAGTTACAGCAGAATCACTGATCTGTTGTAAATTCACACTAAGTTCCTGGGAGGTTTTCTGTCTCCATAGCCTGTACCTGTCTGTACTTTCTTTTTGTGATGATCTCTACTTTAGCATTGGCAAGGACTCAATGATCACAAAAAACCCCACCCCTCAGAATATAAGCATCTAATTTCGGTCTTCGAACCTTGCATTTAAGATTGCTATGCAGGCTAACTATAGATGTAAGAGGCACTCCTATAATCAACCACATAAAAAAAGTAGTAACCATTCAGTTAATCTCCACACTCATATTAATATTCTGTCCCATTTACATTCAGCATGTTGTTATGAAGTCACGGGGAATACAAGCAAGCATTACGTTAACATTTGCGTAAATCCTTTCTTTTTTGATTCATCAAACATTTCTCAAACTAGAAAGAATGCACAAGCCCGCTGAACAGAGACGTATGTCAAACACTTCCCAATAGTCAAGAAAAACCTCTTACTCCATTTACTTTTTCTACAGGGCAAAGTCCTCATTTGCATTTTCCCTGAACTGATTTGCAAGAAGAAAAGCATATGAAACCATCACACAAAGTTGCCACTTAATGTGGAGAGAAATGCAAGAACTAAGATAGGCAACAGTCCTTATAGTAAAATAGGAAAGTGCTCTTTGGTATTCTGCAAAGACAAAGCAGACTTCTGAGCACAGACAGATTAAGTTTATCACAAAGGAGGGCTCTTGTTGCATAGCAGTCAGTGCACAGAAGTCAAAGATGAGGCCTCCAACAACACAGAAAACATCCTAGCATCCCTTGTAGATTTGGCACCTGAGTTGGTTTGTATCAGCTGGGGCAGTCCATCAATGTATAGAAAGAAGCCAGGATTTTCACCCAGAAACCACAACTAAGGACAGGACTAAGTTTCAGATAGTTATCTTTGAGTGTTACTTTCCTTTCTGGAACACCAGTTTTATAATCCATCATCTAATCTTGTACTTAATCTGGTTTTTTTTCCCTTTATCTTGTTGAAGCATAGCACAAAAAAAAAAAACAGAGCAGCAAGTAAAAGTGTTGGTAATCACACCCTGAATGCCTTCTACCCTAGCCTATGTCTGTTCTACAAAGAACAATTAGCAAGGCTCTCTACTGCAATTACTGTGGGGAAAGAAATACTCAACTTGCTGCACATGGAAATAAGTCAATAATAGAGTATTACCAGGATAAATAAAAGCTACAATCTAGCTAGCTGATGCACTGCATCTATGAACTTTAAAAGAGGGACAGTGGGGAGGTAAACCTCTACATAGCAACAGCATCAACTATCACCCTCTCCTATTTGGTATTCAAGCTACAAGTGTAGAGACTCTGGACACTTACTACAGCTCAGTTACAGGAAAACTCATGCATTTAACATAAGGCAGCTCTAAATTTCATCTTAATAAAAAACAATTCTTACTGTGGTTGATCTTTTACAGGTGGAGATATTTGCCCTTCGAAAGAACCAGAGCTACTAGAAGTTTTCTCCTTAAATATTTCTCCTATGTCAGTATAGCTGTTTGCAGGTGAAAAGCATTCTGTATTTTCCCTTGTTCCTACTTTAGGCTTAGAAAGCAGTTCCATAGAGTGACATCTCTCAACAATATTTGATATGCCTTGAGTCTGACTATGGGATGTGCCAGACCTATCTGAAGAGTGGGCTCTTCGGAGGTAGCGTGAATGTGGTCTCTCTTCAGCAAGTTGCATGGTTCTTCCCCTGCCAGTTATGCCAATTTCTTTTCCCTGAATTCCCCACTGATGAAAAGAACCGCTTCCATCTACTGATGAAGTATTAGTGGAATTCTTGCTTTTAGGAAAAAAAGTTATTTTATTTGGGAGCGGCTGTCCAACCAACAGCTTCTTCTTTTCCTTCAAGCAACCACTGGTACTGATGCTGGAAGAGCCTGTGAAGGTTGTAGAGATGGTAGCATTTCCACTGTCCATGGAATCTTCTGAAGTTCCCGAATCTTTACTCCGGGCAGAGCTACACCTGGACATAAAAGGATGATCCAACACAGAGGAAAGACTCAAGCGATCTGCTGGATTTTTGCGAAGTAACCTATGTATAAGGTCTTGCGCCTCTCTTGATAAAAAGGCTGGCATTTCATAGTCTGCTAATACTACTTTATTCAGCGTGTTCTTGACTGTGTCAGTGTCAAAAGGTGGCTTTCCAATAAGAAGAGTGTAAAACATACAACCCAAAGACCATACATCAGATTCAAGTCCATGTGGACTCCTTGTGGCTATCTCTGGAGAAATGTAATTTGGAGTTCCACACATGGTGTAATGCTTTTCGTGAGGCATTTTCAGCTGAGTTGCTAGTCCAAAATCAGCAATCTTGACATTCATATTATTGGTGAGTAAGATATTAGAAAGGGTGAGGTCCCGGTGCAGTATTCCATGAGAATGAAGATACAGCATACCCGTGATAATTTGATGCAAGAAGTGTCGAGCTGTCAAAACACAAAACCAGATGATTTAGCCATAAATTAAAATCAGAAAGTTGTTATTTTCACAACTATGAAGTCTGCTAGTGCTCTTGCCTTTTTTTTTTGTTTTTAAATAATGGGGATGTTACAAGGATGTTTAAGTGTCATGCTAATAAGATTGGAATTAACTCTGCTTTTTGCTTTAAGCAATATGGCATGACTATGTTCTAAGTCCATAAAAAATGTTCTCTAAAGCAACAGTCAGATTTGTTTCTTTGCTAACAGAATGATGTAAACAGGACTGGAAATATTTTCAATTGGCCTAAACTTTTTGAAATTGGGTTCTTAAGAATTTTTTAAAAAGTTCCGTTGCTCCTCACTTTCAGAAACAGCAAATGCATGAAATCAAGCAGCTTCACTATGTGCAGATTACAGAATATAAGAGACAATTTGGATGATATTTATCATTATTAGCAAACCGGCAAGGCTAGTAGTACTCCAATTTCTCAAAAACTTCTACGTTGACGAAGTTGGGACAGCCTTTCTCTTGTATTACATTAGAAATTCAGGGAATATTCAAGAGTTTTAGCTTACAGCAGGAGTAACAAAAACTCATCCAGGCTGAAACAGCATCATTTATTATGATGTTCCAATTACAGCAATTTTAAGAACAGTTCTGAAAAATCCATATCTGTAATAGTTTCACAGAATTAGATTAGAAACTGACAGAGAAGCAAGTAAACTGGAAGGACTGTGCAAGAGATGACCAGCATGGTAAGTCTGGAAGCAGTAGAGGCAATAACCACTGATCCAGATTGGCTGAAACCAGAACAGCTTGTTTGGCTGTGCCCGCAAACATTATACATTGCAGCTGGCTTTGCTGGCATTTTTTTTTTTTTTTTTTTTAATCGCACTGTTCTGGTTAGGCTTTCAGTGGCCCACATTCTAACTGAAATCCTCTATCTCAACAGTAAGAAAATTAAATGTTAGTAAATTCCTAAGTGAAATTAATCTTTTTTGCAAGACTTCTTTCTCAAAATACTATTCAAAAGTTTTAGCATTACTCTGACAACGAACTCTCAATGAAAGATAGGATTTTCAGTGCTTTCCGTAAGAAACAGAAATAAAACCATAGTAGAATTTCTCCTCAGCTGCCACTCCTTCAAAAATTCTAGATGAAGTGTCAAATTGGATATTTCCTTGCTAACTCAGCCCTTAAGATAATGCAGTTAACTGCGTTGCTTAATTTCCGCACACCTTGGAACACAGTAAATATTACCAACGATACCACAATAGGCAAACTATAATCTGGAAGGCTTTCTAACTGGTGACATGTAATACAGTAATACTGAGGAGAAGAGGTGTAACACAAAGAAAGCAAATCTGTGGATGTGAAGCTGCCAGATTTCCTCTGTGGAACTTCCCAGTCTTGACCTATACTTCAACATACTTTTATGTACAAAGGTAAGCACTACCTTCTATATACCTCTACCTTCTAAGATCGCTGTCTATTTTTTTCTACACCCCAAATAGCACAAACTGCTGTAAAATGGCATAAACAGAAACAAAGGCATACAGAAATTCAAGTGAATACGTGTAATAGTAATTAATCTCTAGATTACCACTTATCACAAGATTTTAAGATACACAGACTGGTTCAGAGTGATGGCAGGGTATTTAAAACTACCCCTTCACTAGAATTAAGTATTTACTGAATAAGCCAAATCATTAATGCAAACAGAGCTACACAGAAAAAAAACCCTCACCTTCTTCTTCTGAAAAGGGTTTCTTTCTGTTCTTTATGTATCTGCTCATTTCACCATTGTGACACATCTCAAGTATCAGGTATACATAGTTGCTATCTTCAAAATAGTTGTAAAGCTAGAACACAAAACAATGAAAAAATTAAAATACATTTTGTAGACTATACAGCAAGTCACATGTATAGTCCTCTCTACAAAAACATGATTCTTACCTCAATTATAGATGGATGCTTTAGCTGACAATGTATTTTCACCTCATTCTGAACCCTCTGTACCATTCCAACCTTGTGCATGGCTTTTTTATCTATCTGTAAATGGATCACAATATTTTTAAAGCACTGCAACACTGATTATGTACATGTTAGGTTCAAGTGAACTTGACATTTTAAATGTCCAACGCATGTTTGCCTGAAAACTTCTAAATGTAAGCAAGTTTTCACATAGTTTAACCTACTATGTGCTTTTAATGAACAATTATCATCGATAAACAGAGGAACAAACGACTGTCTCAAAGTAGACAAGTATTAACATTTTAATACGAACACCAATTAAAAACATTTCTGAAATACTGAAGCAGAGAAACCCAATTCTGCTTTTGCCAGGCAGATATGCTAAATATAGTTAACATTAAAAAAGTGGCTAAACATAAACTAACATGAAGTATAATATAAATATAAAATAAAGCATTACAGATTCTAAGTAAATCTGGCAAAACACCTGTGAGGTGCAAGTTTCTTTGACTAACAAAGTCTGTCCTGGCAGCGGGGGAAATTTTTCCAAGACATTTTTTTCCAGGACCTCTCCAGCCACATGGACTCTAAATGAAGTTTTTGCGGTCACAAATGTCTGAATTAGAATTACAGGGCTGACTGTCCACCCAATGTTGAATATATGAGCTGACGTTCTTTTAATAATGCTGTAAGCATTTCTATTAGTTATCGATACCGTCTATTTGGTTGTACTGCACCGTTCAGGATCGAATCCTAATCTAAATATCGGTTACATACAAACAAGCCATCCAGGCACGAATGCCCAACCGCAGAAGCCCAACCTGTTGCGGCTTGCCCTTGTTCAGTCTCTCAGAAGACTGAGGCTTCTTTGGCTGGCTGCCTTACCATTTTGATAGCCACTTCCAGACCGGTTTTCAGGGATACTGCTCTGTAGACCCCAGCGAAGGAGCCCTTCCCCAGGAGGTTCCCCACCTTGAAATCCTGCAACTCGAACAAATCACCGCCGTCAGTCCCAGCCCGGGCTCTGAAGCCTCTCTCCCGATGCAGACACCCTCCCACCCCCCTGCCCCGAGTGACGGGGGGACCCCACACCCCCCAGCGCCGGCACAAACCCCCAGGTGCCCCCCCCCCGGGGGGTACCTGGACGGAGCTCTCCGGGGCGCGGCGGCGGTCCGCGGCGGGTCCGCGCAGCACCCCCCACGGCATCGTCCTCTCCGCTCAGCGACCGGCTTCCACTGGCGCCGGCCGGGGCGGTACGGCGCGGCGGGGTCGGGTCGGACCGGGCCACCTTCCCGCCGTCTCTCCCGCCGTTCCCGTGGAACGGCGGACACCCGCCTCCCGCTGCTATGGCAGCGGCTGGGGAGCGACCGCCGCCCGCCCCGCAAAAACACAGAACGCCTGGGGCTTTCCACAGACGACCTCCCCGTGGGTGAGGAAACATGGCTTCACGGCTCGGCCCGGGGCGGGGGGGGGGAACGCCGGTCCTGGCCGGTTCAACCCCCTACGCCCGCTCCCCCGGCCCCCCGCCGGCCGCCTCCCACAAATAAACCGCCCGGGAGAAGGACGCCCCCCCCCCCCGCCTGGCCTCTCCCCGCCACCGACTGGCAAATGGCGGGGCGGCCCCAGCCAGGGGGCCGGGCTCCGCACCTCTATTTTCTCGCCGATGCAGGTCGCCATGGCGCTGGCCCGCTCTCCCCCGGTCTCGCTATGGGTTCTTCTCAGGACCTCGGCTCCCCATCACGGCGCCCTCCATCGCCCGCCTCGGCCCAGGACTGCTGGATCCCGGGCCCGGCGGCCGCTCCCCTCCCCCGGCGCCTCCATTTTGAAAAATCGCGCCGTTACCTTCCCCCCTCCCCGCCCCGCCCCGTTCCAGGTCGAGGCTGCGTCTGACGCAATCGCGTCACGGCCGCCAGGCGGCCGCGGCGCTCGCCGTCGGGGAAGGGAGAGGCGGCGCCTGCGCGGGCCGTCGCGTGCCCCGTTTCCCCGGCAGCCGTTACGGCGCATGCGCAGTTGCGGGTCCGGCGGCGCCGTTGGCGGCCCGGTAGCTGAGAAATAACCGGTTCTGACAGCCCTGCGCGGTTCCAGGTATCTCTTCCTCAGAGGAGGGAGAGCCTCCGGGCTGCCCCTGGCCTCGGGAGGCCGGGCTGCCCGGCCTTGTCACGCTCGGCCGGGCGTCTGTGGTGGAAGCCCCCAGGCCTGGAAGATCGGCCGAACCGAGCCGGCAGGGTCAGCTCCTGGGTTGGTTGTGGACGAACGTGAACTCTCGTAATAAAAGGAACAGTTTCACCTTCACGTGGGTACCTCCCTCGCACTCAGTAGAGAGGTTTTGTCATTCCTCGGTTGTTATTTTTAAATAGCTGGCCTAAATTCTGGGATGAACCCTCACAAAGTTTGAAGGGCTTCCCTTAGGCTTACTGCCTCACGTATTAAGCACAAAGTGCAGTTCTTCCATCTTACCTTGTCGGATACAGTGTCTGGTAAGGGAGGCACAGGGTGTTTGTCTCGGAATTATAGGCTAGAACCAGCAATGGGTTTAGGTGCAAGGCTGCCAGTGTGGCCTGGGCTGGGTGCTCAGCCTTCTCCTATAAGGGTACCCACAGGGAGCAGCAGCTGCCTCTACCTGGCACCCTAAGGAACCTGCAGCTGCACAGAGTTAGCTGAGAGGAAGAGCTGTCAATTGGGCTTTGTCCCAAATACCCCCTCTCTCAGGTGTTCAGTCCACTGAAGGAAGAGGTGCAAGCTGAAGCTTTAAATCCTCAGTTCTCAATCTTTTGTTGAAGGTACTTTGCTGTATTTTTTCTCCAAATATCTGAAAAAGCTTATGCTAGTGAGGTTTTGTCAGCTAATGGTGGTACTGTGTGTAGTAGACTACTGCAGCATGTGCGGAGCAACTGCAAAGCCTGGATTTAATTCACTTTTCTGCTTCAGGAACCCGTTGGAGGGTCCTCTGGTTTTGGGCCCGTAGTGCTAAACTAAGTAATGTGCTGGGATAGTAGCATAGCTTCAACATAAACACGGTGCAAGATGGTAATTAATTTTATCACCAAGTGCATTATGGAGCACTGAGCTGAGAGTGGTGATTCTTTGTGTCTAATACCTACTTGTTGGGTTCTTTCTATACTGTTTCATATGAAGCATAGAAGTTTTTGAATGCAGACTTAAATATGAACATTGATTAGGACAAAGAGGAAGTATTTTTTGTACTGAAACTGAAGTGCTGTAATTGAAAATGCTTTTAATAGAAGAGTGCTTCTGGGAATGGGTTATGGTTGTATTTCTCTTATAAAATGTGGGCATGGTATTTTGACATGTATGTATTAAGGGGAATGGGGCATAATATAGATTGTCCGTCCTTCGCAGATACACCAGTTTTATAGTAATGGAAAGTATGCGTGTGCTCTGAAAGATGGTTAAAGTCGATTAGAACAGAAGGGGGAGCTGTTAGCACACCAGGCAAAGAAGAAGGGGCTCCGTACAGATGCATAAATTTTCCAACCAGAAGAGAATTCCTCTTTTTGCTCTTAACAGGAGTTAATGAAGTGTTCTTTTCTCACGATCTGAGATTGGAAAAAAGATGCTTGGTACTGTAATGATCTTGCACAGTGAAACTTTTAGCAGTAGGAACCAGGTCAGCATTCTCCTACTTGTATTGATCTTAATTTTTTGTCATTAATAAGTGACTGCTTCCCTTAAAGCAGCAGGTTTTGTCGTGATTTGTCATGTCATTGTTTTTATGATGTCCTTTAAGAAGCATATCCCTTTCCTTTAATTGTCTGTAGCATCATCCCTCCAAAGACCTTATTGTTTTTCTGGCCTTTGCTTTTGTGATATATATAACTGTGATAACAACATGTTTGTTTCTCATAAGTGTGATAAAATGTTGCTCTCTGCTCATTACACATCTTCATTTGCATAGACAAAGTTAACGTTCTTGCTAGGTTACAGCTTAGAAAATTATCAAAGTCAAGTGGTTTTGAAAGTAGAGACAGAAAGATTTTACATTGCCTTTAATGGAGTAGAATCTAAGCTACAGAGTAGTCGTCAAAATTTTTTGAACCATTCATTTGGAAAGGAAATGGCAGAAAAGGGAGAGCAGACTTGTATATAATTTCATTATTTAAATTTGGTTGTTTTCCTTGCTGTGAGGGTCTGCTCATGTTTTGGTTTCTTTGAGTCAAATGCTTTAAGTGGATCTGGGACTGTTCAGTTATTCCACAACTATTCTACCAGCACCCTTGTTCCCAGCTGTGTTTCTGTTCTCTCAGTGCTGCTTTCAGCTGCAAGCCATGCTTTTGCAACCGAATTCGTCTTGGGTCTTTAACATTTTTCACAGGTGTTGCAACTCCCGCTTCTGTTAGTCTGTTCCACTGATAGGAATTATGCCAATTTTACAGTGGTAGTTGTTGTAATTATTGTTAGAATATAGTGCAGTTTTCCTTTGAATTGCCTTCTACCACAAGAAGGTGTGATGAGTGTTAAGTACAGGCAGAACTGAGAAGCAAAGGCTGAGCAGCTGGTTTAATCCATTTGTGGGCTTAGTTCCTAGCTACATTGTTTTATTTTCCAAAAATGCTTTTCCCAACTATCTTCCTGCTGAAGTAACTTCTGAACTGTGAGTCGGATTGGAGTTTTAAAAACACATGAGTGAAGAAAATCAGGAGTGAACCTCATTCCATCACTTGTGCTTAGCATGCTCTTCTTGACGTAAATCTTTCTTTAACCTGAGGTACTAATGCGTTATTGGGCAGAGCCCTGAGTGATATGCCTGTTGGCAGACCTCCAAACCTACATCTTAATAACAAACTCCTCCGTTCTAAGGCTGCTAGTCCCCATTAGCTTGGATTGAGCTTACTCAGGGCTGCCATTGTCTCATCGGTCTTCTGTCATGTGCTGGCTGTGATGCTTTTTCAGCTGAGTGGCAAGCCATTTTAAGAAGCTGAATCAGCTAAAAATGGGTTCTCTTTTAGGAGGGTTAGGTTTTGCTCAGTGCCCTGAATTAGGTCAGTGTGTGATTGTGCCAGCGGTAGTGCCGGTGCAGTGGAAGGGCGGGACTGCAAAATGGGAGCAACAGGGAGGGTGGGACAGCAGAAGCTCTTTCTTGGATGGGCTGATGTTGCTGTGGAATTCCACCCACAGGTAGAAAGCAGTAAGATGAGGGTAAGCGGGCAGAAGAGCACCCGACATTCTTTTCCTTGTGTTACACCGTAGAGTTGGCTGATAAGTCTGCTGTTTCCCTACGTGACTTTAAAACTATTGAGTGACCCTTATGTGTCGTGTTTTATGGAGAATATATGACAAAATAAAATTCTCTAGCTATGTAGAGAGAGAGATTCTCAGATTGCCTGTGTGCTTTGGCTCCTTCATTTAGCTTTTGTTTATTATGTCACAGTAGCAATTAGACCTGATCAACAGCAGTTCATGTCTAATGTGAAACACAGCAACATTGTTGTACCAAATTTGGTTTTTATGGGCTAGCTGCCTTCACCTGATGCCAGGCATCATTGATGAATTTTGTTTCTGTAGCTAAGGTCAATTCAAAATGTGAGGGAACATCTTCAAGGTCCACTGCCTGACCAGTTAGTTTACGTTGTCATGTGCTTTTCTATTCCTAGCTAGTCTATTAAAAATGAAATTCATCTTTGGGCAAGTATGCCCTCAAACAGTATTTCAACCCAACCACTACAGTGAACTGGTGTCGGTCCCTTGCACAGAAAAAAATTTCCCCAATTTTGGAGAAGATACTTGCTTTTTCATTTCTTATTTTTCAATTGGTAGTTCAGTTGTTCATTTATTTCTTGTCTGACATTCAGATGCAGTACTGTTTAAGCTGGCTGAAGCAGATGTGACTCTTTGTTTCCACCCTCTGTTTCTTCCTCTGTTGTGTGGCAGGACTGTTCACATGGCTACACAGTGAACCAGATGAAGGAATTGGTTTTGGCTGGGAAAAAGATTTTTTTTGTTTGTTTTTTTGATTAGTCTGCCCTCAGAATCACTCCACCTTGTAAACCGCTTGCTGGCTACTTCTGTACCAGAGGAGTGCTCCTAAAGACTTACTCTGGCTAGGGCAGGCTAGCATCCAGGATGCAAGGAGGTGCATCGATGTAGCACTTCAGCTTCTCTGATGTTTGCCAGCCTGTGACTCTAAACTTAAACAGTTCCCCCACTGCCCGCCAACTTCATTTGTTGAAATAGAATACAGAGGTGGCTTGTAATCAAGCTGCACTTTCTCCTTCAGAGAAGGAGGCTGTCAGGAAGTTGCATGCAGTCATCCACTCATTAATGGATGTAAAATGGATTGTGTATGTGTCAATTGCTGAGAATCCTTAAATGTAAAATGGAAGCTGTGTGACTGATTAAATAGGTCTGGTTTGTGGAGCTGTGCAATATTAACAGTCATCATTGGTTTAAGTAATTAGGGTGGAAGATTGGAAAAAAATTACTTTCAATTCAATTTCAAGGCTAGATTTTTAACCTGAACAGGGATGAGAAACATTGTGTGAGTGAATTCATGTGCTGAAAGTATGACTGACACATATTGACATTGGGGGCAAGCTAAATAGCTAACAACATACAATATATGCTGCATGACTATACAGAAGACAAAATTTGTAGGTGGAGGTAATAATAGACAAGGCACTTCAGGACATGGTTTTGTGGGCATGGTTGATGGTAGGACT